TAAGTAGGTGCTTTAGACCACTGAGCCATCTCGCCAGCCCCATTTTGGAGACATTCTAGAAGTATTATGTCTAAAATTTTCTCATATGAAAATAAAATGTGGCACAGTTTTTAATAAACAGCTACAGAAACTATGCCATAGAGTTTTAGTGTAGGGTTACTTGGACATTACATCACAGAATTTACATCAGCACATTTCCACTGGCATTTTAGGTTCCTTAATGCAATCTAATGTCAATTCAACGTACAGTTACTAATTGTTATATACCTTCTTACATACCCATACACACACCATGAACATTTTGAAAATACAACATGAAATCTAAAATTCCACCCTTGTACCTGGTCATAAGTTATAGGCAGTAGTAAAAAAGACAGGCTATTTGCCTGCTGGATTGCAAAGACAGGAGCATGACACTATCTCTTATCTTTGAAATTGCGATTCTTAGCTCTAGATTCCACAAAACGTTCAGCATAGCTAGCTATCAAGAAAGTGACCGTCTAAACTGTGACTGTGTAAAGTTCTAGAATTGAAAACTGCAAAACTAAACCAAACTACCTACATTGAGATTCCATCTCACTTCAGTCAGAATGGCTATTACCAGGAATATGAATAACAAGAAATGTTAGCAAGAATGCAGGCAAGGGGCTGGTGAGATGGCTCAGTGGTCTAAAGCACCTACTTAGAACAAACTAAACTAAGCAAAGCACAGGGACCGCGGTTCAATCCCCCAGCACCACATGCCAGCCATTCCCACCCCCTGGTGGGCTGAGCTGGCCACACACACACACAAAATGAATAAATAAATAATTAAAAAAAAAAAAAAAAAAGAATGCAGGCAAAAGGGAGTCTTTCTATACTGTTGGTTGAAATGTAAATTAGCACAATCATCATGGAAATCAGTATGGAGGTTCCTCAGCAATCTCAAAAATGGAACTCCAATCTATGTAACTCCTTGGTATATTACCAAAAGAATTAGTCACTATACAATAGTGATATCTGCATACCCAGGTTTATTGCAGCATAATTCACAACAGTAAAACTATGGAAACATCCTAGGTGCCTGTCAAGAGATGAATGCATTAAAGAAAACATATATATATATACAACTTAGTATTATTCAGCCATAAAATATGAAATCATGTAACTTGCAAGAAAACGGATGGAAGTGGAGATCATCATGTAAAGCCAGACTCAGAAAGTCAAATATTGCATGTTTTCTCTCATTTGTTGAATCTAAAAAATAAATAAATAAATAAATAAATAAAAAAGAGCACAGGAAAGTAGACAAGAGGAAGGGGAAGAAGGGAAGGGCAGAAGAAGGAGAAGGAAGTAATAAGGGGACAAAGGTGATCAACATATGTCAGAGGCATATACAACTACATCAACAAGAAGCCCACTGCTCTGCGTAACT